AAGTTGTAAGTTTATTTTTAAAAGGGAGTGAATTCTTCAAGGTCAGGTTTCTTGTTGGTTTTGTTGCTTTCATTTCTTTATTGGTGGTACCTTGCAGCTATATAAAGTTATAAGGGCTTCCAGGTGCTTCAGAATTCAGAACTGCCATTGTACTTCAAGATGCAACATGTTCTAGCTCTTAGCACAGAGACATGTAATGCTGCAAATCTACTTACCATCTATGACCAGCCAGTGGTGTGAGTGCCAGAGATGTCTATTTGAGGGCTCTAAAGGTATGAAACCTGTGTGGGGTGGTATGTAGCAGTGTTCTCGGAGAAACTGTATGCAGCAGTCAATGTTTTCCCCAGACAACTGTCAACCTTTGATTACCAAAGTAGAATAATCGGAAATAATTGTTTTGTGAGCTTAGTTTGGTTACTGACAGGTGTATGCCCTGTATATCTATAAATAGATATCAAAAATCATGAGGAGACCCTCAAATTAAATTATTGAGGTAGCTTGAAAGTGAGGGTCATAGAATTAAGTCTTTCACCAAGGTTTTAGCTGTTCTGGGTCATGTGAATAAGACTTCTCTCCAGTCTTTCTCTTCATTTGTTGACTTGCTTTCTTGCAGGAAAAAGAGCTATAGATACGAAAACTACATTAGTTAAATAATATGTCACTTTCCAATGGACATTTGGGCTCCTGCCAAGGAGAAAATGGAAAATGGCAGGGTTTCCTCTATTCCAAGAGGAATAGAATATGGGGGGAAAAACCAGATTGCATGAGCCAAGCAATGTATGGAAAGCAAGTGGCTAAGATGAGCTCTGAGATAAGACGTGACATCCCCTAAAAGCAGAGGAGTTGCATTTTTGAGGTAAAGGTGGCAACTACTTTTTTTTTTCTTTTTTTTTTTTTTAAACACTATCATTTTATCCATGTAAAGCTTACGAAATCTACAGAAACATAGTCAATAGCATTTCCAAAATAAGTGCTTCAGGAATTAATTCCTTGGTTTGTGCTGTGTACTGTGATACTTTTAATTTTTGCATCATGGCTTGGTGCTATTTAAGATGCACATAGTAATTCTTTCACTGCCTTTTAGACATTGTGTTCTGTGTTATGTCCTTCAGAGGGACATTACCAACCACAGGTGACTTCTTGCATGCCTGAGTAAATGGAAGCATCCTACATATGGGATATCTTTTAGCTTCCAGGGCTGAAGTCCTGTGGCTAGAGGAACATGTAATCCCTAATACAGAGTTGACTGTTCAGTGTCTGCAACCTGAAATCATAAGGTCTGTGAGCAGTCTGTGAGTTAAACCTCTGTCTTCGTAGTGTAAATATCCTGAAACTGAAGAAATAGCAGTCTGAGAAAGCTTCATGCGTAGTCGTCATAGCAGCATAGTTTTTCAGAACATCACGTCTATCAGGACTCAGGACTTCTGGTATGCTACGTGTTTTCTTGACTTAAAAGTGACATTTAACCCAGCAGTTCTTGTTTACAACAATGGAAAAAGATGTGGCAAGTTTGGATTGGCTCAAGCAGAGGTATGAAAGGGAAGAGGAGAAACATCCACAGTTGTTACAGCATGTCAGAACTGAAGTAAAACCAGAAAAGAGCAAGGAAGAAGCAGCTTTCTCCTTTAATTAAAAGCAAAATCAACACAACCTACAACTTTTAAGGGACAAGTATGTTTTTTAAGATACATTAATATTATGAGAGAACACTGAAAGGAAAGAAAATAGCTATTCTTACTTTTGGATTACCTTTAGAAATCATTATGAAGTGTTTTTCCCCTTTAAGCAGGACTTGGCCAAAATGCTAATAAGGTCAAAAGCTCTTGTTTGTGGCTCTCTGTTGGGAATGGGATTAATTGGTATATGCTGTACAGAAATATGTTGCTGACCAAAATGTCTGAAGTTAGAAGAAGTTATTGTTTCAGTGTTAGCTGACTGATGTGGGCGCTGCCTTGCTAACATTGGCGAGTCAAGTTTGTAAGTCTCAACGCATGCTCCTCTGGCCTGTGCCCTTTTACCTACTTAGCTAGCAAGCACGTGACAGCAGAGGAATGCAAAGGAGGGGAAGTGTACAGCAGCTTGTGATTAAATTGGCTTTTAAAAAGGAAAACAAGTATTCTAAGACAGGGACTTCAGGAAGTCTTTGGTGTTCAGCCATCATAATTCAGAACAATCTTAAAGGCTTAAGAGTTTTCTTAAGTAAAGGAAAAGGATATGAAAAGAAACAAGGCATTCGATTGTTTCACATCTGAGGGTCAAGTAATACAGTCCTAGAACTAGGCTTGTCTTTCTTTTCAGGGCTTGTTTACTTGATTCAGGATTAATTTATTGTTTTTTTTCATTTGTGAATAAGGAATATTTTCCTTATTGAAGCTTATTGACTGTTTATTTGTAATCTTTTTCTGCCTTGGACGGTAGAAATGCATATGCCCGAAAAGAGAATGGTTCTTTAAATTCTTTCCTCCAGAAACAGAGAGAAGGCTAGTTAGAAAGTCACAGGGGAATTGAAGGGTAATAGAAACTAGTCGATCTGACACTTAAGGCACTGTCATTCCAGAATACAAAAGTCCATGAGTGAACTGGAGAACTGTTGGCCCGTCTTGAGACAAATCCAGGTGCCTGATCTCAATATGGGGAGATAGTTGTTTTTGTTGTGAGTGTAGGGGGTTGTTTGTTTGTTTATCCCAGTCTTTATAGTACTATAGTATTGCTAAACATGTGATGAATTCATAACTTTGAGTGCCTTTTGCAAACCCTGTGAAGTCCAAGACATACCACGTATTGCTGCTGCCTGTCTCCATTTTATTGCTCTCTTGCAGTTTTGGTCTCAGCGTCCAAGTGCACAATTCAAATGAATGAAGGGACAGCTGACTTTGACTTCCTGATACTTGTCTCCAGCAAGGGCCTTATGAATAAGCAGTTGTTAGTGACAGAGTCATTAAGTACTACAAATGGCAGTTGTTACTAGGGCATGAAACTGGTGTTCAGAGCTGATTTGGTTTCTTTGTTGTCCTAATTGGACATTGTACATGCATAGATCAAATTGCATGCTATCTGTATAACACAGTGAGCTTTAGCTACCCTTCTGGAAACCCAGAAGCCCGATTCACTCAGGACTCTGCCTCTAAACCTTGAGCAGTGGCTGATGGATTTGGGAGATGTTTGAAATGCTATCAGTCACTGTAGCAGTATTGCAGATGTTGAGCACTGGGGGCTGGTCTAGGGACAGGCACTTTTAATATTGTAAACAGTCGCTACCTATTAGTCGGCAGCCTTGCCAGATTCTGTGCAGCAACACTTGTTCATCTCTGCCTAGTGCTGCTTCTCTTCCTTTATTTGTGTGTTTATTTCCTAAGCCTACTATTACTGCAGCATTCCCAGTTCTCATATTCCCTAGCTGTCTACTCATACGCCTTTGCACTCTTCTTTGTGCTTCAGATGACTTTGACATAGTAGAATGTTAACAGACTAGAGGAGCAGTACTACGGTCTAATAGACTGCTTTTGAAGTGGCCAGCTAAACTGCACTGGTAGTTCTGACATGCAGGGGTTAAACGTCCACCAGAATTAAAGTTTAATTACAAAGCCTAAGCTTCAGGTTTGCAAAAGAAATGTAAATTTCAGCCTTTAGGATTCAAAAGGCATGAAGTAGTTGTACTTTCTATTGATTAAATAGAAATGCTACCTTAAAACAGTATTGACAACGTTGTGTTTTGTACCAGTAAAAATGTGAAATTAAAATTTGCCCTTGAATCCTGCCCTACAGATTATGGATTCCTCTACCTTTTTGCCACTTCTAAGAGGATGTTGTTTTTAGAATTATGCACAGAAGTTTTGGTAAGCTAATAAATGAATGTAGACAAAATACTTTGAAGTGATGATGATTTCCTCAGGAATATGTAGTTTGGACCATTTCAATGTTATGTGGTCTGCAAAAATCTATGTTCTGATTGTAAGTGCTCAAACCATATTAGTCTGAATTAGTGATGAGCAGGCGTAACTTCTAGGATGTTTATGTATAAATGCTGGTTGGTTAGAGAAAGAAAGAAGCTATGATGATGAGCTGATAAATATGAGCATACAGTTCAGTTTGAATTGGCTGTATGCTCAGAGAAAGTTGGGATGTAACTGTGATTCTGTTTACATCTTTATATTTGTTTTAACTTCAAGTGGTATTTATTTGAGCCTGTTATGCCCACCCATTGTGATGGTCTTTGGTCTATATTGGCACAGTTGCTGATATTTGTGGGTAATTAAACTGGGCTGCAGTTGAATTAAATTTCCTCTTAATTTCAGATTTGTTTATGTGAAGGTCATCTTTCTGACAGCTGTGATTTTGCTCCCTCAACTCTGTATAGCCTTGATTTGGCATTTATTTGCCAGTCTGAACTCAGAGCTCCAGGGGCTATAATGTTTTACTGCTGGGACGAATCAGCTTGAAATTAATACATGAAAAAAATTCAGAGCAAAATATGGCCAGAAGCAGCTCTGTTTTGCTAGCTGAGATGACAACTTTAAATACCTTTTGTTTCAAAATGTTGAGGGGAAAAAAAAAACCAATGAAAAACAAAAAAACCTAAAACATTTTCTGAATCTCTTTCATCATTACAGGGAGAGATGCTGTGTACCTGCCATTTGCTTTTTCCAAATACTATGGCTTTCATTTTCTGCTCTGAATTTTTATATTATATATTGCATGCACAGACGATATTCAGCTTGCTGTGATCCTGCCAAAATGCCTGAGTTACATGAGAATGTTTTGCTTCCATTTTCAGCTGCTGTGGTTAGAAGAGGTACCTTAATTAACATACAGATACTCAGACTGAAGCACGAGCATAGCCTGTAAGGAAGAGGCAAGTACTGTATTTAAATTTGGCATGCTTTGAAATATTTCCTAAAATTAGGGTGTGGAAGATATCTTGCTAGAAATGGACTAATGTTCGTTTGAACAAAAAGGAAATAAATTTTTAACTCCGCTTTTTGACAGAACTACAGAACTCATTCTAAAGATGGCAGAAGCTTATCAAGCAGTAGCTTTTCAATTTACAGTAACTCCAGATGGGATCGACCTGCGAATGAGCCATGAGGCACTCAAACAAATTTGCCTATCTGGTGTTCATTCATGGAAGAAAAAGTTCATCAGATTCAAGGTATTTCAAATTAGTCAAGTCCACCAAACTTGAGGGTTATTTAACATTTTATAGATTTATTGAAGTTTTGCTTAGGTTAAAAAAAAATATTCTTTTTTTCCCTTTATGGCAAATAAAGTTCTTTACTGTGGAAGACTTTTGTGAGTTTTAGTTAAGACAAGGGATACTGAGGAAGGTAATATGGGGTGATGCTGCAAAGACTGAAAGGGTGCATGTGTTCGATTTATTTTGTGGAAGCAAGATGTAGCAGATGTTGAAATTAATGATAGATTTAATATACTTCATTCTCTTCATAATACCTCATGTAATTACATGATCATTTAACATAAGTCAGAAATACAAGTAGTTGTGATTTTTAGTGTCGTATCACTTACAGGTACAAGACTACACTCTTGATTTTATGTATTCTTTGCCAAAATTAAATTTTCAAATTAAGGAGAATCTCTGCTGTTTTCAAAAAGTTACCTGAACATCTATCTTGTATAAGTTATGCTAAGTAGTAATGTTTGTGTTGAGGTATAGATTGTTGTGAATTTATTGTTTCGTTGATGGGATCATAAATGATAAGTATGTATTTTATGAGTAGCAAACTGGATAAGATACAGGCTAACTTTAACATCTCTTTTAAAAACATGTTTTTATTAACAGTAGTCTTAATAAAATCTTCTTATAAAGCTGCGAGAAGGACTATTTAAAACTAAATTACTTAAATGTGTTGATTTTTGTTTCCTTCCATGGTAATATGAAGTCAACCACTTTGGTATGAAAAAAATTATGTGAAGGCTTTTCTTTCCAGAATGGAATTATCACCGGTGTTTTCCCTGCTAGCCCATCTAGCTGGTTTATTGTACTTGTGGGTGTGATGTCAACAATGTATGCCAAAATTGATCCTTCTTTAGGATTAATAGCTAAAATCAACCGAACACTTGACACAACGTAAGTAGACTGAAAAGGTACTTTTTTCTAAAGGAAACCAATTTTATTTGTAGCTACTCTTAAAGCTAATCCTGTTAAAGTGAATCAGTGTTTGAACAGTAGGTTTGTGATGGGGTAAGCCCAATAAGCAAATGTATGAGGATATGAAAACAGTAGGTTGTTATACCAGTATTACTACATTGTTTTCTGATTTTTTGGGAAGCACATTTGGCAACTTCTGTGGCCTTTGATCTTACTGCATGGGAGGGTGGTTGGAAAGGAGTTTGTGAAAAAGGGCTTAACAGGCCTGAAACTTGTGTAATGTCTGCCTGCACTACCATTAGACTTAGGTTTGCAATACTAGGTTCTCTTTAGAACTTAAACTGATGTTAACTGGCACGTGCTGGTTTTTGTTTTAAATAGTGGCTATATGTCAAACCAAACACAAAACATCGTGAGTGGAATACTTTTTGGCACAGGGCTTTGGGTTGCCCTTATTGTCACAATGCGCTACTCTCTCAAAATGCTGCTTTCCTATCACGGTTGGATATTTGCTGAACATGGCAAACTTTCTGCAGGCACCAAGATTTGGATGGTAAGGATCTATTTTCTTAATGTTTCATCTTCAATCTGATCTGCATTTAAAACTCTAAAAATAAAATTTTGTAGATTTTTTTCCTTTCTTGTGTTTTCTGTGTCATGGGACAGGAGAACCCAACAGGCTGTTGGGTAGTATTTCTACTAATTACTGTCATCCTTCTGATACTGTAATTAAGCTATTCAGGATGGCCTTGTAAAAGGACCAGTAAACACTGCAAGAATAACTTCAGGATTTGCCAATGCCTTGAGGCTGTGTGACTCAAATACACCTACTTTTTCTCTATGTGCAAGTACAGCTTGAAGAACTTGGGCTGCAGCTACACCAAAGAATCTTGTCCTCCCCAGAAAGCGCTATCCCAATTCTTTGTTGAAATGTTAGGATTTCTGGTCATCTGTTATTAATTTAATCTTATACTTAAAGACAGTACTGAATGTCCTTTCAATCGATTTCATTCTATGCCTCCAAAATGAATTGGAGAAAAAGCCTAAGGCTGGTAACTTGCTACCCAGTTTTCACATAAGCATAAGGTGAGAGTGACCTGGCTCCTGCTGATTCCTGTGGTGCTTTGGAAAAGGGTTCTAAAAGGATGTGATAGGTATAAAGTGAGGAAATGTGTGTGTATATATAGGTGCTCCAAGAGAGGAAGTGGGGTTTTGTTGCTTGGACAGTTTTTTCTACTCACTTTTGCCCGTATTGTTGTAGAAATAACTTAAGTGTCCTATTATGACAAAATCAGTCTCTGTAGTGTCAAAAATCAACCAATGTGTGTTAGACTTAACACCATGTTATGGTTTATTATGAAGTATGTTCAAGAATAGGTATCCAGAATGGTGCGTTAAAATAGAATTTAATGTTCATGTGTTACAAATCAAATTTCTAATTGCTAGTTTCTCCTGGAAGCGGTATCAGGAGCCTCATGACATGAATTTGTACAGTACAGGCTCTGAATGGTAAGGTTTTCTGTCAGTTGCTTGAAGCTGTAGATGTCTGGGGTTACAGCATGTCCTACCAGACAGATATTTTAAAGCTGTTAATATTGCCTTATCAACCTTAAATGGTATGAATTGTAATGCTACTCACCATGCTTTGTTGCATATTGTATTTGCAAATTTTTGGCTATTACATGTTGCATATGTATTTTGTTGTGCATTATATATGTTTTAAAAAGCAGAACACTATAAGGGTGTATGTCCAGCAGTGTCTTATCTGTAAGTTCTATTTTAATACCTAATTCTCTTTAGCTAGTCCCAGCAAAAGAGAAGACTGGTTGCTTTAGGAAAACAGTATCAACTACCTTAGCTTTCTAGATTTTTATTGTCCTTCAATATTGCCTAATTTTCTGGACATGTTTTTCTGGATTATGTGTGATTTTCTTTTTTTCTTAGCTATCATGAATATACTTTATTCTGTTCACATAGTCAAGCAGATCAAAAACCTGAGCTCTGATTGCAGTCATGTTACAAAGTGATTTTTTTTTTCAGGCTGGTTGGAAGTCTGGTGGCAGTTTTATTGTATGTATTTAATCTCCTAAACTCAAATTTCCCATACCAGGATTAGGAGAAAAATGCAAGTATTAATTGCAGTTAAAAAAAAAAAAAGTTAAATAATAATAATAATCTGTGAACAGATGCAACATATGCTAGAATGAGATTATTTGCTGTATTTGCATATGAAATTAGAGATGTAATTAACTACATGTGTCTGGATCACTTTAATGGTTTCAAACAGTTACAAATTCTCTACAAGTTTACTTCAGAGAGAAATACTATAAAATGTGCTTGCTGTTTTTGCCACTTGAGCAGGTACTTTCTGCCTCAAGTTAATTTCAGCTTTTCCTGTCTAAAGAGTTCTAGAACAAAATTGCCTTCAAGTATGGAATTAGATTTTCTTATGAAAAACTGAGTGGGTATTTTTTTTAATTTCTTTTTTTTTTCCTCCTCACCTGGCTTCAAATTTATATTGTCATGAAGCACAACTAGTTTTCATTGGGCTGACCACTGTGGTGTGCAGTGTGCATCTAACAACTCTGAAACAGATTTGTCCATTGCTGGGAGGTCTTTGTTGTTGGTAGTATTCTGCAATTCTTAATACTTTTGTGCTGCCTTAAACAACCTCCTCTAGCTGTGCTGACCAAAGAAAATGAGTGAGGGAAAAACTCTCAGATTTGGCAATTGGGGGGGGGTATAGACGGGAGAAATTTAATAGTGAAATGACATCCTTTCTCTTTGGTCTTGAATCTTAATTTGCCTATCGATTTGACTTCAACAATAAAAGTTCCACTGGATTCTTATACTTGACCTTAATTTCATGCTGAAATAGGGTGATAATGTCAAAATTCTTTCGTGCGTGGCCTGTAGGTTGTATAATCTAGACTTTCAGCCTAGTGTGTGTCACAGCTAAGAAGCAGGCATCAATAGAAATACTGCTTCTGTCTTTGGTCTTCCATGGAAAACCGCAGGTGCTCTAATATGTGAAGCTAAGAGGGGAATGGTCGTCTCTGGCTCTTTCGTTTGTTTTGGCGTTGTTTTGGTTTTTTTAACACAAGCACTGAGTGTAACACTGGCATGCTTGCACAATTTGGTGTGTTCAAATCATGCAGTAGACTACCTGCGACAGACTCATGCTTGAAGAAACTCCCTGTAACATCAATGCTATTATTAATGTTGAGCTGTATCTTTGGAAAATATTAAACCATGATTCCAAAGAATCCTTAGTTGGTTGGTTAATGATTCCTCTTTTCAAGCACAACATAGATATTTTGCAGTATCTACTATATAGTAAAAGATCGACTGTTAGACTGGCTTTTTGAATCTTTACGGAGGGAAATGTATGAAGAAGTGCTAAGTAATTGTCTTTATTTTCTGTTGAGGTCAAGGTGTGTCATTCATAAACAACAGTATTGCCTAATGACCAGTAGATAGTCAAGAATGACTGTAACTGTATCTCTTCCACTGACGTGTTGTTTAACCCTCAGGAAGTCAATTTATGTCAGTGCCTTTTTTTATTTGTGTAACAGTGATAAATATGATAGTAAATATGATAGTAAATATGATATCTAGTACTGTATAATTTGCCAGTGAAAAGAACTGAGTTACACTTTATTACTCTCATTTTTCTTTTGTTGAACCTAATAATTTGGGTGCATATTTTGTTTTTGCTTTTCTTCAGACACTTGTAAAACTCTTCTCGGGACGTAAACCCATGTTGTACAGTTTCCAGGCATCTTTACCCCGATTGCCAGTTCCAGCTGTTACAGACACAGTCAATAGGGTATGTATATTTATTAATTCATTATCTTCAGTAACATTGAATCCATATTTAGATGCTCTTGAAGTTGTTGGTTTTTTGGTTTTATTTTTTGGGGTTTTTTTACCATGTCTTGTAAGAAGTATTAAAAGGTGGTACTAATATGGTGTCATGAATGAAAACTTCTGCATAGAAATTAAAACAAAGGTTATGACAAACCACTGGTGACAATTTGAAGCTAATGTAATTTATATTGGATGATGTAAAACTGTGCAACGAAGCATGATTTCCAGGCTTTTGAAGCTTAATAGTTTTAGCTTCTACACCTTGAACGTAAAGTGTGTTTTATGACACAAAACCTTTATAGCAAAATCTGTAAGTAGGACACTGTCACCGAAACCACAGGTTGGAGTTTTAGAGACAAAAAAATCTCACTGCCTGATACTGAAGAAACTGCATGTCTTCTATTTTGAGTGGAAAATATATCTTAAGAGAAATAGTCTCTTCCACTTGTGATTTGCTGACAAATGTCTGGAAAAAGATATAATTTTTGCAGTTTGCAGGCAGATGTTTAGAAAAGTATATACTCTTATTTTAACAGCGTGGTATTTGCAACCTTACGAATTGAGCCTGGATAATGTTTGTCTACAGTTCAAATGCTTTACGTAAGAATGGTGCAAAGCTGTGTATTAGTTACATACTGAAACTGATTCTTCTCCTGTATTCTAGTATCTGGAATCAGTTCGGCCACTTATGGATGATGAAGAGTTCAGAAGAATGGAGGGTCTTGCCAAAGATTTTGCATTTAATTTGGGACCAAGGCTTCAGTGGTATTTGAAGCTAAAATCCTGGTGGGCCACAAACTATGTAAGTAGATAAATAGGAAGCTCAATTGTTCAATAGACATACGTTAATTTGTTCCCTGTTGCCCTTTCATCTTTCTTAAATGTAAAAGAAGGCAATTGAAACTGCCTAATATTTTTGTAAAGTGCATTGGATACCACCTGATTTGCACAGAAATAACTTGTGTGGTTTGGTAAACAGTCTTGTGAATGGAACTTGAAAGAATAAATCCTCGTTTGTGTTCATTATTCCAGAGCAGGTGATTTAGCATTTGCCATTATGATTGCTTTTTTTTGTCTGCTCTGTTGTTTGGTTTTTGTTTTTTGGTGGGGGGTTGTTTGGGGTTTCTTGGTTGTGTGGGTTGGTGGGGTTTTTTTGTTGGTTGTGTGGTTTGATTGGTGGTTTTTTTGGGTTTTTTTGGTGGTGGTGGTATGGGGTTTTTTGGGTGTGGGTGTTTTTTATTTTTTTTTTTCCTGTGTGTATGGCTTGGTCTTTGTTTGTTGTTGTTTCGTGTTTTTTGTTCATTTGTTTGTTTGGTTTTGGTTTTACCAAAAAGAAAACCAAATCCCAACATCATAGTGAAAACTGTAGGATAATTCCTGGTTTTCCCTAAAGTTAACACAAATTAGGGTTTCTTTGTTTCTCTTTTTTAAGTAGGAAGTCAAGCTAGCAGTTTCCTTTCTGCTTCTGTATGGAATGTTGTATTATGGAGTCATTAACGTAGAAGACAAATTGTGGAAGTAATGAGATTTTACTGGTTTTCTTTGTCTTCCTACTGTAGGTTAGTGATTGGTGGGAAGAATATGTCTACCTTAGAGGACGTGGACCAATAATGGTTAATAGTAACTATTTTGCAATGGTAAGTAAGTAATATAAACACCTTATGTGTCAAAGAGGCACAGTAAAATTTCTGCCAGCTATCTTATTTCATTATATCTTCCTGTTCAGAAATCCGTTGCTACTGAATATGTGACCTTGGTTTTATTTCCTTTTAGGAAAAACCTTTAATGTGCAGCCAACGTCTTCAAGTACAGTGCTATGTTAATAATAAACTTTTGCCACTTAGGCATGTAGTAGTGACTCTATACAGTTTTGTGCTTACTACAACAAGCAATGCTTTCAAAAGCTCTATGTAAAACTTCATGCGTAACACAATTCAACAAGGTGTGTGCTCATATTCACAAATGTCTTTACAGGAAGTAAAATTGTAAAAAGATACAAAAATTTGAAGTAGAAAGAAGAAATATGGTAGTCTTGAATTCAAGTAGCATTGTCTTTTCTACTGGGATGATGAGCAGCTATCAGTTATACTTCAGGACTGATGCTGTTTAAGCAGATTGGCTGTTGAAGAAATTTAATTTTCAAGTCATCAGCTCACTGCACTAGTGCACTTAATAAATTTTAAAGCCTTTTCCATATTAACCAGAATAAACTAGATGGAAGTGGATGAGAACTACTATCAGTACTACTTTTTATTTTAAATGTAGTCTGGTAATCATTAACTTATGTTTTTTATGTACTTTGTAGGACTTCCTTTATTTATGTCCCACAACCTTGCAGGCAGCTAGAGCTGGTAATGTTATCCATGCCATCTTGCTCTATCGGAAAAAACTGGACAGACAAGAAATCAAGCCAGTATGTATATCAGTTTAAGTGGCCTTTGGTCTTTTTCCAGCACAATCTGCAAGAAGCTGATCTGTTTTCAGAATGGGAGAGGAGAGGAGAGGAATGTTTTATTGTCAGAACTATATGTAAGATGTTTGGGACCACAAATTTTTTTTACATCTTGGTTATTACTTGAATTTTACATGGGCAGAAACTACCAATTATCAGAAACACAGCATTCTGTCATGCCAGCTAATTGCAGTATTTAGAATTAATGTACGTATTTGCCCAAAAGACTGAGACTTGTACTTGAGTATGTTAAGCATTGCATACAACAGATACTATTGTTATGTACTAAACATGTAATGGTACTTTCGAGCCACTGAAGTCTGAAAGTCTGTTAAGTCTCAGGTATCATGTAGTGTGAGCACAAGGGGTAGTTGGGACAAAGGACTGGACCTTGAGGCCAAGAGTGGGTCAGTGGCAGCTGAAGTATAGATGATGATAAAATCCTGTGTTGCACTAATTTCTAGGTAGCAAACATAGGCAAGGTAAATCCCATTCTGAATTTCTGTTCTGTTCAGGGGCTGTATGTTGTAGCGAACAATATTGTGGAAATAATTAAGTAGTTTTTGTTGATGATCAGGAATGTGAGTAATTGTATGTAACTACAAATCTGAGAAATGTGAACTTTTGTTCCTACACAGCCAGAAATGGCTTTAAAAGAAATAATTAAGGTGTAGTGCATGCTGCATGTTTAATTTTTGCATCTGGACTGGCCATTGAGAGCTTTTTGGATTTCAGATGCTAGCTAGGCTCATTCATCCCTTCTCAAGGGTGAGATTTTGGTAGGAGGGGAAAAAAATACAGCTACCGGAATGTCAGTGAAATCTTCCACAGGTAATTCAAGAAAAGACGATTTGGGGGTGGGGATCCTGAGTTTATATTTTGTAAATCTTAATATTCTACAGTCTTTTAGCCAGATCCTGTTTTGTTTTGGTGTTTTTGTTGGGTTTTTTTTTAATTTATGCCAAATACATGCATGTTTTAATGTATATTTGTGGCACAGATTCTTCTGATGGGATCTACTGTTCCACTCTGCTCAGCTCAGTGGGAACGGATGTTTAATACCTCCCGTATCCCAGGAGAGGAATCAGGTAAGCAGGGCCAGCCAAGGAAAATAAGCATCTTAATGGAATTCAGTTTTGGGGGTATTATGTGCTAAAATCCCTTTTTTTTCCCAGCTAAAGATCTAACAGACACATCAATGCTGTGTTCCACTACTCAGGAAGTAATGAACTCCTAGTGTGTGCTAAAAGGAAAAATTTCTTTAGTTTGTTGGGGTTTGTGTGGTGTTTTGTTTTGGGGTTTTTGTTTGGGTGTTTTTGTGGGTTTGTTTTTTTTGGAGTTTTTTTTTTTCTCTTGTCCCTTCGTTTATTTAAACTAAAAATATAGATTGTCTGCCCTGTGCTTTTAATTTATAAATAACCTTTACTTTCTCCATTCTATTCTTTGAGGAGCCTTTGATAGCCATCGTTTTATCTTTGTTGAAGTTGTGTTCTCTTATCTCAACTATTTTAAAACCTTTAGCTTGCTTGACTTTACCTTTTTTCCTTTCAGCTTATGATTCACAACAACATCCCAATGAGGTGTTCTCAGTGTGAATGTGTAACTAGTTTAGAGGCAGGTGCAGTCTTAGTCCTGTCAAGGTTTTCAAGCATCACTGTTACCTTGACCTATTGTGTGTGCTATAAGACATCAGCTAAGTAAAATCACCTGTAATAAAGATGGTGTCCAAAACTGTCTCTGTAACGCACTAAGTAAATACATACTCTGGGTTTCATTAGTTCCTTCCCTGACCTAACTCCCAGCAGTGGTCTGATTATCCAAAGCTGTGAGTAACTAAATTTTCACATTTTAATTTTGGATGGAGGTGTGCACCTGTTGACTTACAGCAGGGTCATTCTCGCCCAAGTCTGCTCCTGCAGCTTCTGTTTATTGTGGAAAACTAAGGATGTGGCTACATGATCACAAGCCATCATGTTAGCTCAGTCAGAAAAAAAAGTCTCTGTGACAATTCATACACACTTTCTCACTGTAGCTGTACATATCCTCTCATTGCATGCATTCATTAACACTGTCTATACACATAAGAGCATTTCACTTCAGTTAATGGCAAACCTTTGATAAATTGTTTGTTGTTGTATCTCAACATAAAATATCATCGTTTTTTGATGGTCAGTACATCATCCAAGATCTTGAGACTGATTCTTCTGTGGGGTTGTTACTTGAAGATAGTATATATTTTATTTTGACTTTCAGATCTGCAACTCAGTCTTATGTTTTAAGCTGCCTCTGGGCATGTTAGTTGCAATTAAGTAAAGAATAAAAAAACATAAAGGATTTTACTCTTGGTTCTGTTGCTGGTCTTTGGTAGATTATTGAGGAATTATTTTCCTGGCTATGGTTCAGCTGTCTTTATCTGCAAAATGGAGCTGGTGATTACTGTGACCATGAACTGGTAGCTTAACTAGCAAGTTTTAAAACCTCTATTATACATATGTGCTATGTGAGCTATTGTTATTTAGAGTATTTCGAGTACTGAGAGTGCAACCCTTGCCTCCTCCCTGTCCTCAATAAAATATTGACCTGTTTGCATTTAGCTTTGGATTTGGTGTTCTCTTACTCTGAAATGAGTTTTGCACAAAAGTGTATCAGTAACCCATTCTAACTATACCACCTGATGATAAAATACCTCCTGTATATCTTAATGGTTCTCCTCAGTTTCTCCAGCTCAGTCTTTCAAATTCAAGTACAGTAATGATTCTTTCCAGATTCATAGCAATATAACAGTTCTTTGAGGTAGTGAAGGGAGTCAACCAACAGTTTTCATCGATTGAGGGCTTTCCCTGGCTTCTGCAAAAACCTTCACCTGTGGCTTGATATAATGCCTTCATGATGAACTTTAGTACTTTAGTCTTATGACAATTAAGCCATATAAATAATAAAGTTAGGAAAGATTTGTGGCCTAGGTTTTCTGCTTCACTTATTTCCGTAACACTACATTTCTTGGCCACAGATGGAGTACCCACTCTGTATCTGCCAGGATACATGTGAATAAACTTACGGTACTTAATTTGTGCCCTTTTAAGACTCCTCACAGACTATGCTGTGAACTGTCTAGAACTTGAATGCAGATGATTTAAAAGTACCTTTCCTCAGACTCATTTAGTGTGTTCTTTTGCTGACTACTTAAATGAGACTACAGTACTAGTGCTCACTTTTCAGATACAGATTTCACTGTTTAATATTGGTCACCAGTGTGGAGATTTGTGGTACTATGCATGCAGATGATTGTCAAATCTGGGTATTTGACTTGTTTCATGCAGGAATCTGTGCTGAAATAAGATGGAGGAGTGGTTTATCTCACACTATTTATTACTTTGTTAAAATAAATAAGCTATGGCTAACTGGTAGGGCATGAAGTAGGCGTTTGATGTTTAGTGCATTAGTGTTTTGAGACTTCAGCTTGTTCTCACATAAGTGATTGCAATTCTAGATACTCTCCAGCACGTGAAAGACAGCAAACACATTGTTGTGTATCATAAGGGCCGTTACTTCAAAGTATGGCTGTACCATGATGGTAGATTGTTGAAACCCCGAGAAATTGAACAGCAGATGCAAAGAATTCTTGATGATGGTTCAGAGCCTCAGGCTGGTGAAGAGAAACTAGCAGCTCTTACTGCAGGAGATAGGTACGGTGGTTATTATTTTTAATTATACTTTAATATTTAGAAATAGTTGCATAATATACTAGTTCAATACTGGCTTTGGAATTTTAAAATAGTCTGCAGTCAGCTGATTATACCTTGATCCCTGATTTTGTATATTACTAAGACGTGAGACCTCTTTAGTCATTTGTAACTACATGGAATTGAAAATAATTTTGCAGTGGCATCCCTGTATACATATTACGTGTACTTAGCTGGAGGAGTTTGGCTTAATTGTGGTTATCATAAGGGCGGTAATTGGAAGCTTTACAGTATTACACATATTGAACTACCTAAATCTTATATCTGCTCTGGGTTTCACTGGCATTTTAAGAGTATCTTAAAACCTAAGATCAAGAATGTGAATTCACTAACTGTTACTCCATATTCATGTCTTACATCTACAGAATAAAGCACTGTGTACTAGGTTGGTTCTAGGTACAAGATCATTGAATTCAATTAAATCATGGCAAGTTTAGTTCAATCTGCCTAATTGTTTCTGGACAAGGGGGAGTGACTGTGGATTTTGATATACTTTCTTACTAGGAGTCCCACCTTTTTCTCACTTTCTGCTTTAAAACAAACAGATGTTTGGAAGCCCACAGAAACTTGTAAATATACATGGTGCAACTGTACAGAAATTACATTGTTCAGGATAACTTTAACTTCAGATCTGTTTCAGGCATTTCCAGTGAAACTTTATTGACAATTGTCCAGACTCAGGTTTAGGTGTTACAGCAATGGATATTTATCTGATTGTTTTCATTATTATTACTATTTTCTTCCATATAATAGATATTTTCTTCTGTTCAGTTATAAATGTAGATAATTTGGATGCATTGCATGCTTCAGAAATTTTGAATTTAGATTAAGGTTTGCATGTATGGTATGTTGAATTAGTTAATAGGATTACATTGTACATGTATGTTCTGAAGTTTTCTCTGCTGATATAGTTTAAATGCAATGAAAGTAGTTGCTTCAAATTTGTTAAAAGTAGCAGTAATCTCATAGTGATCAAAAGAGTGATAAAATGTTGACAAATTCACATAATCTGGCAATAAATGAAATTCTTTTTGCAGAGTACCATGGGCTAAAGCTCGACAGGCTTATTTTACCCATGGAAAGAACAAACAGTCCTTAGATGCTATTGAAAAGGCAGCATTTTTTGTGACATTAGATGACAACAAGCGAGGGTATATGGAAGAAGACCCAGTAAAGTCACTGGATTTATATGCAAAATCCCTAATACATGGCAGATGTTATGACAGGTACAGTATTGACTCCGGAAAACACGCCTTTTTTTTTTTTTTTTTTGAATTTCACTAGTTCATGTGACTAATGCATATAAATTAGAGGCTTATAAGCTGATAAATTTCATTGAATCACAGAATGCATTGGAAGCAACCTTCAAAGATCATCCAGTCTACCTCCCTTACCATAGGCAAGGACGTCTTTCACTACATCAGATTGCTCAAAGCCCAATCCACCTGATTATGAACACTTCCAATGATGGGGCACCCACAACTTCTCTGGGAACCCTGCCCAGTGTTTCACCACTCTAATGCTAAAAGACATTTCTCCTTTCTGTCAGATCTAAATCTACCCTCTTAGAGTTTATAACCATTCCCCCATATACTGTCTCTATAGGCCATGGTAAATAGTCTCTCAGTTGGTTTTTTTTTATGTGTGTGGTGGTTTTTTTTTGTTTGTTTTGTTCGTTTTTGGTTTTTTGTTGTTTTTGGTTTTTTGTTTTTAGTAAACTCTCTTAATGTACTGAAAGATTTAAATAAACTATTACTGGGGAGAGAGGGAGAAGCCAAGAACTAGTGCATTTGAATGGGAATTATTGAGAGAGGTGGAGTTGAAGTGTAAAAATGCTTTCGAAATGTACAAAACCATCAGGAAATCTTAAACTTCTCTTGTAGGTGGTTTGATAAATCATTCACTCTTATAATATTCAAAAATGGCAAAATGGGTCTGAATGCAGAGCACTCATGGGCAGATGCTCCTATTGTTGGACACCTCTGGGAGGTAGGTGTTTAGTACAAAAAGTTAATGCATGAAATAATGGGATATGGTCTGTGCAATGGTCCTGAAGATGGCCAGTTACTTTCAATCCTTTGTGTTCGTGTTGCTTGTGAGTGATTACATGCTGGTGTCTACAATGACTGTAGACTTTAGAAACCCCCCTCTTGCTTAAAAGAAAAGTATAAATGAAAGGTTTTTATTGCATTTTAATGAGTATAGATGTCTCACAGAAAAGTAATACAGTTCCCCATTTAACCTGTTTATAATATTCTAAATCAACAGATTTGATAAAGCATTGTATTTTGCATGTATACATGCTCCCAAGGCACTTAAGCTTTCTTGCATTATAAAAATCCCACACTTACTTTCAAAATTAAAGAAATAGTAGAGAGTTAAATTTTTCCTCTAAGCTATTGTTTGATGAGCTGCAGATTGATATATTATCTCTTGTGTTTATCTGCAATGAATGGAATAAATGCACTTTTTGTCACATCTGTTCATCACGACCTTAGCTTATTACTTGAAATCCTATTTGATTTTTTTCTTTTTGAAATTTAAACATATAACCAGTTACATGACTCAACACTCAAAACTACTTCATGAACAGTAGCTGATTCTGATTTTATTATATATGCAAATGGTTCTTGGGTCTGAATGGCACTCGGGTAATGTACCAATTTTATTATATGAGTGTTTCCAGCTGTGTGGGACCACAGCATTCTCTAACCAGGGAAGAAAGGAGGCTGAACTGATTTGAGATTGACTTGACAGTGCAGTTTAGACTAGCTCATTGGAGAAAGAGTTCCTTTGGTTTCTTTTGAGTGTTGTTATATGCTTTAGCTCATATCCCTGTACTTACTATTAGTTGATTCATTTTCTCCTAAGAATTAAGATGACTAAAATAAACTAAGTAGGATTTCTGTTCCTAAAATGTTATCTATTGTTATCTCTTTATGTTGCCTATTTTTTTTTAACAGAATGGATTAAGCTTTATTTAATATTTGGCAAATTCTGACAAATAAGTGAGAAAATTAAAATAAGAGATTAGAAATATATATAGAACATGCAATAGATCTTTGTCAAGCTTTTTCTTTCCATATTGAGCAGCTTCGAATCTATTGATAATCCTGCGTTGTTTGTTCATTTATTTGTTATTTTTTACTTTGAAGATGTTGTTTGAAGTCTTGTAAGACTGAGCCTTTTTTGTCTGTTGTTCCAAGTTCTATTGTTCATGTTGGAAACATTTTACTTCTCCACCTAAGAGCTCTAGTGCACATATAAAATAATCTATTTTGAGTGGGATGAAAATCTTGCAGAAACTCTCTAGAATGTAAATAGATCAAAGGTGGTGAAATCTAAGCCTCTAAGACTTGATTTATTTATTTTTTTTTTTTTTGCTACCAGTAAGTTGAGGTAGTTTTTTCATTGACATGTTTTGATTAATTCAGTAGCATCTACAAAATGTACCAGTAGAATTGTTGTTTGCATATCTGGTATTTTTTCCACTCAGAACACAAGTAAAAATGCCTTCAAATAAGATGTAAAACAGAGGGCTTCTCTTGCAGCTGTTTTCAGTATTTGGAAATGAATTGTATGTCGTATTTCACTGCGTGGTGAAAATGGGTTTTACTGATTTCACAATGAAATCCTAATTCCACTGCAATATGTAATGTGCTGCAATTCTGAAGAAATATCATTCTTTGCAGAATGTAATGGCAACTGAGTATCTTGAACTGGGCTATTCAGAAGATGGGCATTGCAAAGGAGATACCAATCAAAATATTCCTGTTCCTACCAAACTGCAGTGGGAAATTCCAGAAGAAGTAAGTACAGAATAGCTAGTGGTTGGGGAAGAAGCTCATCTTTTTCTGAGCAGTCAAATCACTTAAGTATTTATTGATAACCCTATAAATCAGCTTAAAATTACTTCTTATCCTGTAAGATGTGTATTTCATGTATGGACATTACTCAGTTTACTTGGAAAGATATCAAGGTTTTTTAATGTCACTTTAAAAATTCTTGCTGGGAAATGCCAACTTTTTACTAGAAACTTACTTGGGTGGCAACATGTCAAAAATAAGTGGCCACCTATTTTAAATAGTAACTGTAATAAAATGAAATTGAAGTTGTTACTATCATTACAACAAACGCTTTCCTGTAATGGTTCCTTGAGATTAGCTGTCTTTTTTGTGTTCAAAATTCTGTACAGGTGTCTAGTAAGGTTTGATTTATTTTCGTTTTTGGCATGAGTTCAAGACACACTGCCACCACCTATTTGGATTTTACTTTTTAATGAAAAGGTAATGGTTGGTGGTATGTTTAATTAAGCATGCATGGCAGATTGGAAGCCACACAGTTATTGCTGTTCTATCTCTGTGGGTCATTCTAGTGATCTGAACAGTCTTAATACTGGTGGTTTTTTAAAGTCTAATTCTTGGAGTCCAGATGTGTACTGCTTAAACGTTTTTATTAGCATTTTGAATTTTAACTTTCTGCCAAAGCTAGCGTCTCGTCTTTCTCCAAAGGGAGATTATTGGTAATAGTGTTTCTGGCATGCATAAAGGCAGCATTTCTTAGTTATCAATTAAAAATACTTGCACTCTTTCAACAGTTCTTTCAAAAGCCATTAATGCATGCATATGCACACCTGTGTATATATTTATTTATTCTAGTGTCAAGAAATGATTGAGAGGTCTCTGAGCACTGCCGTAGCTCTGGCAGATGATGTGGACTTCAGTTCATTTTACTTTGATACTTTTGGAAAGGGACTAATAAAGAAAGCAAAAACCAGCCCTGATGCCTTCGTGCAACTTGCCCTGCAGCTTGCTCACTATCGGGTAAGAAGAACAGTCTGTTTCTGACTTACAGAATATCATTAAGTTGGGTATAGCATGCTCTAAACAATGTCAAACTTAACTTTCAGTTTGGAACTATCCTTAATTCAGTAGTCACTACTACACTTCTTAAAAGGATTAACAGAAATGCCTGCCTGTGTGTTCTGTTAGTTCACGTTTCCTGTAGCCTGCTTTCAGAAAACCCCAGTGTAGCAACATCTATGGTTTTCATTTTGCTTTTTTGTTGTTGCTATTTAGATACTATTTGAGACTTTTTAAGTAATCCCAAATGTTTTTTCAAAGCATCCAGATTTCCTGACTGCTATCACTATTGCAGTCTTTCTTATGATTGGTTAGGGTAACTACACAGCAAATAGTTTGATTACCCACCCATCTCTTTTATTTTGAACTCCCATCTTCCATATCTAAAACTGAACAGCCTGTCAAAATCTGTTCTGGTATGTATTTTGTATACATCACTTCTTAACATGTCTTAGACAAACTTCTATCTTTGGGCAACTTTTAATCTGTAGATTGTGCACATTTACAGGAAACGTGGAAGCCACACTTCCTGGATTTTGCAGATTGTTTTCAGTTCTCATGTATCTTGAAAATCCCCACGCTGGCATGTGCCTCCATGCTGTTAAATTTTTAACTGGAAGTACTTTTAAGGATGTTAGTTGTCTCAGTTACTTACCACAGCTGTCTTCCTTAGGAAGCCTCTGAATTCTTAAACAGGTTTTTGAGTCGTCTTTGGTTATAAACTAAAGAAGATTGAATATAAAACACTGAGGGTAGTCCTTGCTAGTTTGGTTGTTCTATTAGCATTTATCTGATCCTGCTACTAATCTTATTTTTGCCTTTATGTTTAGGTAAGACTGCTAATGGTGGGCTACTAAAAATGTTGAGTTTAATTTGCGGAGAGACTGATACTCTGTGTGCTTTCCTTGAACTATTGATTAAGAAAGTGAGGCTAAGTCTGGCTAAACCTGTAAGATCTTATTTTTCGCTTTCCAAGGACATGGGAAAATTTTCTTTAACATATGAAGCCTCTATGACACGCTTGTTCAGAGAAGGCAGGACTGAAACTGTTCGTTCATGTACTGTTGAATCGTGTAACTTTGTTCGGACCATGGAAGACCCAACTGAAAGTGTAAGTTCGTGGTGTTATTGTCCTATACAATCCACAAGGCACATGAGTTATCACCACTTGAAGTGATACCTTTGTTTTTTGGGAAGTGCACATTTTCTGTCAATATGGCAGAAATTCAAGGCTATACCAAAAGAGAATGGCAGTAACTTAGCCAAATACGCCATTTCTTATAGTCCCTGAAGTCCAAAAATTGAAATTACTTCTGAGATTTTTTTGACTTGTAAAACTCAAACATAGATTTGTGAAATGAGTAACCTCTTAGCTACCAGTTAGGCTTTTCCTTCTGACAGGGAAGCAAGTATCACTCACAGGAATCTTTCCTGTGGCATTTTGATTAGCAAAAGAAGCATGGTCTAGGAAAAAACTTCTTGGTTTGGAAAACCTAGACAATACTGGGAAGGGTGAGGGCTGTCTGTTCTTTTAATCTACTGTTAGTTATGGTTTTTACAGATACAGTTGGTGAAATAAATCATTACATTAGCAGGTTTTGCTAAGCTGAATGGGATTTTCAGTTCTTCAAAATTAATAAAAATTTGAGTTTAAAAAGAGTTTTGTTAAATAGGAATGTACTCAAGGTATTACATCCAAGCCAGAGTAACAGCCACATGGGTAGAAGTTACAATGGAAAAGATCTAGGACTATAATAATCAGTAAATGAACACTGTCATAGCACATTCAGTGCTACGCCATTGGGAAAAACACAGCCCTCACTTGAGTTAGTCTTGCCCTTTAGTTTTAGTAGTCCCTGAACATTTTTCCTTATATAGCATTAGCTGGGATGGTGTGTCCAGTTTTGGACACCGCACTTGAGATATGGATTTATAAAGAGGACAGATTGAAGAGAGTACAAAGGAGAGTAAAAAGGATGGCTAGAAACCTCTGAAGAGGATCTGTGCGCAGAGTTTGAACTCAATTATTTCTGCCTAGTCTAAAGAGGAGAGAACGCTGTGGAAGAGATAGGGAGCCAGGTTGTACTCAAGAGGATAAGAAAGGCTGATGCAGACATGATGGGAACAATCTGTTCTCTGTCCCAGGAAGTAGTGGACTTAAATTTCAGGAAGGAACACATTAGGGAAACATTTCTGCTAGTAAGGATACTGAGTAAGGAGGGAAATAGTGAGAAGCCTGAAAGCCCCAAGCCATTACTTTGGGAGGTTGTTTTTTCACTTTGACAATCTTTAAAAGTAAGTTACATAATGGAAAGAGTTTTCGTTGATCAGATCCAGGGGCCGAGAAGTCTAAGTAGATGAATAGTTGAAGCTCTTTCTTTAGGAAGAAAGAACCCCATGATTCTATGAATAAATGTTACTGCAGATAGAGAGATGCTTAGAGAAAGAAAAAAACTTTTTTCTCCCTCTGCCTTCTGGAAGTTCTGTGTAGGTAAAATCCCCCTCAGTATGTTGTGCTGGGAGCTGTGATCAGATCAGTTCAAGTGTGAAAATCCAGCCATGTCAAGATGTCATACACAACTGTATGGTACAGCTACTATGCAACTATCCTGTGAATAGAAAGTCATTTTAACATAGTCCTAAAGGGAAAACTAAGTGCTATTACATCTCTGCAGTTAACGTCTGCTTTTTTTGTTAAACGAATAAGGTAGCCCCGTACATGGCAAGATATATATATATGTAAAAGATATCATTCTGCTCATTATATTTATTTTTTTTTTTTATGGTTACTACAAACGTGATTCTTTCAGACTTGTTGATTCATTACTGTCCTTCATCTGGAATGATCAGCAACAGAGCAGAGGAAGCCTGCCTTCATAGTGTGAATTTGGGGTTTTATATGTTATGAAGATATATTACATGCATTTATATATTATTTCCAAAAGAGTTGTCTGCCTTTACTGCTTGTTCTACTTTTTCCTGGGACTTTCCTTGGAATTTCCTTGGAGCATGTATCTTCCATGGATTATCCACAAAACTTTAGTCCTGGATGCCAATGGTAGGCATACTTAGCATGACTACAAGTGATTTACTAGTTTCTCTTGCTGAAGCCATATAGCCTGTTCACTGTGTCCCCAATAAGCGGTGTAAAATGCAGTGATGCTGGAGATAAGAAGTGACAGTTGCCATATACTCAGTATGTTCATTCACATCATAAAATCTTAACAGAATGGCTCACTGTTTTGAACAGGCATGCACTTTCAGCTCTTGCAACATTCATACAGTGTTCATAGAACTATGGGGTATCTCAGATTGCAAGGGATCCATAAGGATCACTGAGTCCAACTCCCTGCTTCTTGCAGGACTGCCTGAAACTAAACTGTATGACAACAAGCATCATCCAGACACTCCTTGAACAGGCTTGGTGCCCTGACCACTTCCCTGGGGAGCCAGTTTCAGTGACTCGCCATCCTCCCAGTGAAGAACCTTTTCCTAATGTCCAGTCTGAACGTCCCTTGATGCAGCTTTCCATTCCTGTTTGCATGACTTCTGACTGGAATTGCCTGCTCCTGAGGTTTTAAGAGAAGGCCTTTAGAAAATAACCAGCATTCATGGACCCAATACCTTCAGTGTTGTCAGTCTGTCTTCTAAAACAGCTGTTGAAGTTCCAGCTTTTCTTAAATCCTGTTGAGATTTGTTCTTCTGTAACTCTAAGACCACTGTCTCTAGAAACTAAATATACAGTTATATAATGTACTTGACCCTTACATGTTCTAGGCTTGAGAGCCATTGCTGTAACTTAGTTTCCACACCTCCATCCAGTTCACTTAACTGATTTTTCTTTATCTTTGTTTCACTGGCAGAATGAAAATAAGCTGAAGGTCTTCCGGCTTGCTGCTGCCAAACATCAGCACTTATATCGTCTCGCCATGACTGGTTCTGGCATTGACCGCCATCTCTTCTGTCTTTATGTTGTCTCCAAGTACCTGGCTGTAGATTCTCCTTTCCTTAAGGAAGTAAGTGACTTACAACTATTAATTACAGTAAAAAAAATCCTTTTTTAACCTAGTGTTTTGTGGTATCTGCTGACATAGTTATAGAACTCAGATTTTCCTAAGAAAAAAGGTAAGAGGTAACATTGCTTAATATCTGCTGACAGATTACAAGTTACTTTCATTTTGCTTTATGTATGCAGTTATTAATAAGCATATAGTAATACTTTCTGTGAGCTTTGTAGTATAATACATGTTATCAAGGATTGCAAGAAAGTTATAGTCAGTATTAAAAAAAACCCCAAAAAACAAACAAACATTGCTTGTGGTTTTTACATATTTTCAAGGTAGCAAAAAAGGCTGTGTTTTCTTGAGAGAATGTTCTTTTGGTACTGTGACAAAATCACTTTATTTTACTGTGAATTATAGGAATTGTATATTGGGGGGGGGTTGGGGTTTTTTTTTTTGTTTGTTTGGTTTTGGGGGTTTTTTGTTTGTTTTTTTGGGGGGATTTTTTGTTTGTTTTTTGGGTGATTTTTTGTTTTGTTTTGGTTTTTTAAAGCACAACATTAATGTCACTCTTTATTACCATGACAAATGTTTTATTACTTAAACTAGATTTTAAAGTTGCATTCTGTAAAAGTAATTATATTGCAGTTGTTCATGTTTCCTGATTAATAAAAAATGTGTTTCAGCTTGTCTACAAATTAAGCTACTCACATTTGTCTGCTTGCCCTCCTAAATGTGACTAGGGGTGAAGTCAAGATTAAAACAACTTTCTACAGATTTTGCAGACTTTCAAGTTACACCTACATTGGTAGAGATTTTACCAGCTTCTAACTCAATGTAGTATCTTACTGGGATCTCACTGTGGCCATTAACAATCTTGTCGTTAACAAGACCAGTTATGCAGAACTTCCCCAGCTATAGACCCGATTAATCTGTTTTGAAATACTGTTTCTACTGAAACAACTTTTATTCTCTTTGAGGAACTGGCATCGCAACTTCGTATGTTAATGGTTGGCATATCAGGACAAGTTTAGCTGTTTCTTTTAAGCCTTCTTAATTGTTCATTCCATTGAAATGGGAACTGGAGTCATCCTTAATATTACTTTAGTGAGTGCTTTCTAACTTACCTTGACTAGTTTTTGAGAAAGTTGCATGTTCTTAAACAGTGTATGATACTTGTTTGCATCTCTTTCATATCTAATAAAGGTTTTGTCAGAACCTTGGCGGTTGTCAACGAGTCAGACACCACAGCAACACATTGATTTAAAGAAGAATCCTGAAATGTTATCGTGTGGTGGAGGATTTGGACCGGTATGTTTGCTAAATACAAGGACTCCTTTAAAAACCAGTTTTATTTTGAATATGCCACTTTAAAAACTTCAAAGCTGTAATACCTTAATATTGCACATCGAAGGTGCAACACATGCTGTTAAATCAACATGCTTAATGCTTTCTCATTACGTGGACGTGCTCAGAAAAACCTGCATCGCCTTTTTCTCATATGGCACTACAAGAATCGATTATGCTTAAGGAAAGACACAGTTATCTAATGTGATAAAGGCCTACCTGGCAGAGAGATCTGATAAAATGAGGGCTCTTATCACATTACATATGCCCAGAGATTCTGTACACTGACAAATGCCTTACTACTTAAACTAGATTTTAAGGTTGGGATTTGTAAGATTAATTATACTTGACTTATTCTTTATATTTCCTGATAAATCTTAAAAAAACTGTTCATGCTTTCCTCCAAATTAAGCTGCTCACATTGTTCTACTTGCCCTTCTAAGTGTGAATAGTGGCTAAGTCAAAAATAAAACCATGTTCTACAGCTTCTGTAGACTTTAAAAAAAACTAGTGTATTGTTAGAGTTTTCACAAGCTACTGACTTGCTGTAGTGTTTTTCTGGGATTTGAACATGACCATCATTGACAACATTATTATTAACAAGATCTGTTAAGCAGAATTTACGGGGCTATAGACTAGATTAATCTGTTTTCAAAAAACATTTCTTCTGAAAGAATAACGAGAAGGATCACAGGACGGTTCTTTGCCACACAGAGATTAGGATGACAGGTACAGTGTATTTTGGCTAGTTTGTCAAGCTGGAATTCGGGGTTTGGGGTTTTCTTTGTTTTTATTGTTTATTTATTCACATTTCTGATACAGCTTTCAGTGGTTCTTGAGGTTGGAATGAGTTTAAATTGCAATATCAAGGAAGCATAGCTATTGTAGTGCTGCTCATTTGTGAGAAACTGACTTGCTCCAGCCAATTATAAAGTCAGTATTTAGTATCTCAAAAAAGGTGTGGTCTGGCAATAAAATAGGGGTTTGGCTACAGGAATTTCTAACACTTCCCTGTTGTTTTTGCTAATGCTACATTAACTGCTCCCTTCTCACTATTTCTTCATTCCTCTAATTTCCTTTCTTCAGTTACTTGTCTTTCCAAATAACCCTGCTTATTCTTCCTTTCATCATAGAATAGTTAGAGTTAGAAAGGACCTTAAGATTGTCTAGTTCCAACCCCCCTGCCATGAGCAGGGACACCTCACACTAAACCATGTCATCCAAGGCCCTATCCAACCTGGCCTTGAACACCGCCAGGGATGGAGCATTTCTCACTTCTTTGGCAAACCTATTCCAGTGCCTCCCCACCCTCACAGTAAAGAACTTCTTCCGTATATCTAACCTGAACTCACCCTGTTGGAGTTTGAACCTGTTATCCCTTGTCTTATCACTACAGTCCCTAATGAAGAGTCCCTCCCCAACGTCCTTATAGGCTCCCTTCAGACACTGGAAGGCTGCTAACAAGCTTTTCTTATCCAGGCTGAACAGCCCCAACTTTCGCAGCCTGTCTTCATACACGAGGTGCTCCAGCCCCCTGGTCATTCTTATGGCCCTCCTCTGGACTTGCTCCAACAGCTCCATGTCCTTCTTATGTTGAGAACACCAGAACTGTGCACAATATTCCAAGTGGGGTCTCATGAGAGCAGAGTAGAGGGACAGGATCACCTCCTTTGACTTGCTGGTTTTGCTCCTTTTGGGGCAGCCCAGTATATGACTGGCTTTCTGGGCTGTGAGCGCACACTGCCCGAAATAATAATTTCTTGTATCCTTACGAAAACTGTGCTTTAGTTTGCTGAAGTGGCCTAAAGATTCAGTACATCAGGCTTTTCAATGTGTGTGTGGTGGTGGTGGTTTTTGTTTGTTTTCCAAGTGTTTTGTAGACTCTAGCCCTGTAGCATTAAGAGAGAGCAGACTTTGAGGCTGCTTAGCAGCAGTGAGAACAAAGCTCTTGGAGGTTGTGATCCTTTGAGTTAGGAAGGAAAAGAATGGTAGCAGCAGGGTAGTCTGTGTTTACTAGGTATACTTAATTATAACATCAGACTGAAACCTGGGACAGTTAATGCTGCTAATACTGAAACTGGACCAGAACTCTGCTCATGATATGGGTGTTCAGAATCATATCTTTGCTGTAGGGTCGGATGACTTTGCCTTTGGGTAATTTTTCATAATACAAGGCTTGCATACTTTGTATTTACATACTGTATTTGTTTACATCTGCAGAGTGATCCCATGAAACAGTAAGTTCAGGTATACAACTGAACTATTTTATTCCTAAGGAAGTTGGGGCTGTTCAGCCTGGAGAAGAGCAGGTGCATGGAGACCTCCTAGCAGCCTTCCAGTATCTGAAGGGGGCCTACAAGGATGCTGGGCAGGGACTCTTCATTAGGGACTCTAGTGGTAGGACAAGGAGTAACAGGTTTAAACTTAAACAGGGGAAGTTTAGATTAGATATAAGGAAGAAGTTCTTCACAGTGAGGGTGGGGAGGCACTGGAATAGGTTTTCCAAAGAAGTGATAAATGCTCCATTCCTGGCGGTGTTCAAGGCCAGGTTGAACAGAGCCTTGGGTGACACAGTCTAGTGTGTGGTGTCCCTGCTCATGGCAGGGGGGTTGGAACTAGATGATCTTAAGGTCCTTTCCAACCCTAACTATTCTATGATGCCTTTCAACTTAAGCACTGAAGCTGTATAGCTGTTTTGGACCAGACCTTGATAGCAGAAGCTCTTTGAACAAGTATTCTATTTAAAAATACTAAAGCTGTGAAATATTACAGAAATATATTCAGAAAATGCTAATTCCATGCACTTCAGATGAGGCTAGAACTGTTACTCAATCTTCAGAAATGATGCATTAAATGTGGAAGCTTAAGTTTTGCTTAAGGAGAAATTGCAACTCATTTTAAAAATGGCATAGTAAGAATTGTGTTGTTATATATAAGATAATTCAGGAATGGAGAGGTAAAAGTTCAGAAATTTTTTTTCTCTTCTTCCCCTAGGTGGCTGATGATGGTTATGGTGTTTCTTATATTATCATGGGTGAAGCCTCCATCCATTTTCATGTCTCCAGCAAAATATCTTGTTCTAAGACGGTAAGAATCAGTCCTTTTTTACAGATTAATAAATCTGTTCTGATATCTGCTTATAAAACTGTTCTACAAATTCTCTAAAAGGAATCAGGAGGACTTGCAACATACAGTTACAATTTGCCTTTTCTTTGTCAACATATGCTGTTTTGTTGGGTGTATTTTTTTTGTCTCCACTTTACAAATTTAATACCTTTATGAACCAGGGAAGTCATATTCTATTTCACTTATGCTTTCAAGCATAAACAAAGCATGTGGCCCACAGTTGTCTTTACATACAAGTAGTTCCTTGGAACTCATGTAAAATGACTCATACCCGTCCAATAAACAGTAAGGGTTTTTTTGTTATTACAGTTTTGCTTTGATTTGTCTCTGGTTGCAGTTATAAAGACAGAGTAAGATGTATGCTCCCTATTCTTCAGGTCTTTTTAGTTTAAATAATACTGAAAGAAGGTGTCATGTAAGTGTTAATCTGTGCTTGAGAAACATAATTAATGAAAAATTTGTTAGAATAACACCCATTATTAGAATGGGGTAGATGTCATCTATTGACTAGTCTGCTGTTGCAGAGGCATGCAAATCATCCTTCCCTTTTAGATTTTTATGACTTCAGTAAACATGCTGAGTTTGTACAGGATGACATAGCTGAACTAGTTTTCCTTGTTTGACCTTAACTTGTCTGAAAAGATCTTGGTGCTATTGGTTAATCATTAAAGATGAGGAAGTACAACTTTATTTTTGTCGCAGTCCAAATTGTTCTTCAGATGGCTGTTAGCTTGTACTTTGAATTTCCCTGTGTGTCTTATTTACTAGTCAAAGGTCCATACAGAAAAGGCATTTCACGTGCATGGCCTTGATATTATTAGGGTCTTTGCAGTAGATCCCGTAATGTAGCTGCTCATTTATTTTGTAATCCTACTTCTTCCTTGTACCTTTCATCTGATACTTAGAATAAACAGAACAGGTTCATGGTTTGTTTACACTTAGATAACTGTGATTTTCATTTTCAATACTTCAGGTAATTTTTCAATGGCAAAAAAAATCAGGGTTCTCATAGGAACTCAAAATAGAAAAACTTTTTCTACTCTTTCAGTACTTCTATGTCATTAGTGAGACACTTTTTGAACATTCTTTTGTCTTGTGAAAATTAGCTTTTGCAAAATCTGGTGTAAGAAAACAATACTGAAACCCAGTTGTTTTAAAGTCACAGAAAGCTACAGATGCATCTGATTTCAGAAGGAGATGATCTCAGTTCTGTTTGTAGGAAAGTAGATGCATAATGATGAGGTCAGTAATAGCAGAAGCCTAGATTAATTTGTATAACATTAAATATTTTTGTGGTTTAAATTCCACATTTTATGGTAAAATAGATACTCTAATTCTGTAAGTTCCAAAATTTAAAAAATGCTAAAAGTTTCCTTCTTTTGCCTAAAAGATAACTGTTGATTGACAGTACAACTCTTTGGTTTTGGTTTTTTGTTTGTTCCTTTTAAAGGATTCTCATCGTTTTGGGAAAAACATCATGAAAGCAATGGTTGACATCATGGGTTTATTTAACCTTATTAAAAACTGCAACAAGTGATTTGCCTTACTGGTACCAAGCAACCTCCTGTTGTGGGATGCAAACTCTTCTGCACAGTGAACGAGAGCAAGGTTTGTCAAACAGGAGCTGGTGAAGAAACTGAGTCAGCATCTTCTTGATCACCTGTGAAAACCTTAGCAGTGTATTGAATGTTTCATTTTTATTTTTTTTTTCAGTAGTTTGGAAGAGTTTGTTCCACAAAGGATGGCTTTTGAAATCTTGTCTGTTTCTAGGGATGTAGTATCATTGCATGAAGTCCATGTATATTCTAACTCCTGCAGTTTTCTCTTAATTTTTTATACACTTGCTCTTTCCTTACTTAAAATTAGTCTCCTTGTATTCCAGAATCAAAGGGATAAAACACACCATCTTAAACTCAAATATTAGAAAAAGTTTGATTTGCTATGTATTAATAGCAGAATGTTCTTCAATGTATCTGCTGCTTTACGTCAAAGAATGACAAAACTTGTGGCTGTTTACCTTTATTGTTTTCTGTTGTTCGGGGTTTGGGTTTTTTTTGATTGTTGTTGTGATTTGTTTGTTTGTTTGGTTTTTTTGTTTTGTTTGGAGGTTGGGTTTTTTTAAGTACTTTCTGTAAAGCAGACAAAATCCCCCTGATATAACCCACTGTAACACCCCAAGTTGTAGAAATGTTGGGGGTTTTGAAAAAAAAACCCACAACATTGTTGTAGTTATGCTACATCAGGTAGTAAATTGTCACCTAATTAGCAGGTATCACATTTTTCTTACTACCTACAAGGATGTTTGCCACATCATTGATTTTCTTTCTCTATAAATAAATGGACCTGTGTGCTTGTTCAGTTGAGTGCCTTAAAAAATACAGAGATGCTAAGCCCAGGAAAAAACCTGATGGAAGGAGCTGGTTTTACATTGTCTCTGTGGTGAGGAGGTGAAGTAATAGTAATGTAGATGTAGTTTTCAAATCGTAAGTTAGATTGATGTGGCATGAGCAGAATTGAGTATGTTGCCATACGGTGCAGTTAGGTTTATAGCTCTAATGAAATGCTCCCGTGAGTCCCAATGAAGTGCAGGAATAACTTTGTTTCAGAGTTACATAGACACCTGTGTTGAGTTTGGTGAGTGGTACCATTGGTCATTTGAGGTAAGAGCTTCTGGGTCCCAGCAAGTGCCAATTTAGTTAAATGCAACCAGTTGGACAGCCTATGAAGCAAGCAAGCTGCCTGCGGAGGCCGGTCGGTTGCAGGTTGCCTGCTTTCAGCCTGGAATAACCACTACTACTTTGCCTACCACCTGCATGAGAAGGGCACGCTATTTAAGCAGTGGAAAATAGCTCCAGAATGGGAAAATTCTGGCCACCTCAAACTCCTCCCAGGGGACAGTTTTGGTCAAGCAGTATCTGAAGGATACAAGAAGGAAGGAGAAAGCTATTTCATTCAAAAAAATGGAGCCTAGTGTTTCCAAGCACAGAAATAAAACGGCTACTACAAAATAGAGTAACTTTGTATGTAATGCTTCTCTTCCCCAGGCTTTTCTTTTCGGTGTAGTTACTTTTTACATCCTGCAGTGCAGTAAATGTACCTGCTAGTGCAACAGGTCTTTTGTTTTAAATGTAAGGTACATTCTGTTTGGATGATGCTCCACAGCTATGCTGATTTTAAAAGGCCTTTGGGGATGATACAAAACTTCTCATTATGACTTTGAATGTTTTCTGGCCAGTATTTTTTAACTTTCTATGCCTCTTCATGTTTTTGTTATTTTCATTTTTACTCTGATCTAGCTGTTAAAACACCTGTACATGTATGTTTGAAGTGGAAAACCTCAAAGATCCCAGATGCATGCTTATACGGGAACCCTTGCAGGAACTGGCCAAAGACTCATTTGGACACTTCAAAATAAGCCTTACTGTGGCTGGTAGGCTGGTATTTGTCAAACTACTGCAACAATTTTACAGTGATACATTCTTTGGGAGCTGCAGAAATAATGCACTGGGTTTTTTGCCCCCTTTTTAATTTTATTTTATTGACCACTGACCAATCTGTGCTTAAGTTAACATTAGGGCTTGTAAGATTTTCTTCAAACAAAAAAAGAAAAAAAAAAGTTTAGATTTGACTCTCAGGTTTTAAATGTTTCAAGTCTAATTGTAGTTAGTGCAGTTATCAATGCAATTTTACATTCTTAGAGAGTAAAAATAGTTGGCACAGAAAGCTTTTTTTTTTTTTTAATTGTAGATATTTGAACATTTTGTGGTATTAAATGTATCTTTTTAATTTGGGATAGATCATATTTCCTAAACAGATAAGATCTTATTTCATTTTCTTTAAAATGTCAAAGCATGTAAATAAACTATGCTATTTGGATGTAAATCTTAGAAATCCACAGTGAATGTAGGTTATTAATAATTAATTTAAATCTTGATGTTCAATATTGTGTACATACAGTAAAACTGCTTGCTTTTTTGCTCAAAAGCCATAGGAATGTGACTAAATTACCTAGATTTGAATGAACCTTCTAGTACAATGTACTCTATAATAAAGTTAAAAGTTCTATTCCAGAAAAACTACTAATTTGTTACTAAAACCTTGAATCATTTATTCTCAGTGATTTAAGAACTTAGGGTTGAGTAGGGGGTAAAAGTCAGGTTGGATGGTAATATATTGACCTGTTTATTTAATAGCAGAGTAGAATTGGTGGAATACCTCAAATGTGCATTTTTCGAATTTCTTATTTCAGCTATTTCATGCCAGAAATTAGGAAAGCATTAACTACCTTTTAGAGGCTACCATTATTCAGGGCTAACACCATACCTAACTAAATATTCTTTTCAAGGGTTGGGTTTTTTGAGGGACTAAGGAAGTGTGTGCCTGACCTTGAAATTCATGCTTCTAATTCAGCCTTTGTACCAATTGTTTTCTCATATAAAAGTATATTAATTTAAGCTAGTTGGTTTTCTTCTTTTATATCTTGTTCAATTACTCTACATCTATGTTTGGTTATTTACATCCAATGCTTTGTTGCTATTTTCTACCCTCTTCTGTGACTTCAAAAAATAAAATAAAATTTCACAATTACACTACCTAGTACAATGTCTAGTATCTTTTGTCTCTTCTTCTCAGCTCCCTTGCTGCTGTTTCTGGACTTGTGAAATCACTGCTATTAAATCCGGTTTGGAACAGTAGTAGCAAACTAACCAGTTTATTTTAGCAGAAACCTACACGTCTTGCTAATTACTAGCTTCTTTTCTTTTTTTCAGGTTCCATAGAAAGAAGAACCACCACCAGTCCTGCTTTACATGAGCTTTTTTCATATGATACAAGTAACTTCTGGAATGTTTATGTGAAACAGTCTGGTTACAAGCTGGTGGGTAGCACTGGTTTGATCTTTACAGTGAATAACTGGTAAAGCATGAATGGTAAAGCAGTGGAGAACTAGTTCAGGCACAGAAAGTTAACACTGTTAATAAAACACCACCCCCAGCCCTCTACACAACCTGCCACTTCTATGTGATAGATCATTTTCACAGTTGTTTAGCTTGCTGCTTTTCTGGATGTTGCAGCCTTAGCTGCATGAAAGAACACAGTGAGTTCAATTTCACACTTCATCTCTTAGATACTGTTAGCTCTCGCTTGTATTTCACACACTGCCCACCAAAGCTGGATACCGAAGTTGTAAACCCTGTTGTGTTTCATCTGAACAAAAAGGCTGTATGGAAACTTTCTAGGCACATAAAATACAGATTTATCATGCCTTTCCCCCCACCCCCCTTCCTGAAACTGAAGCCATTAATAGAGAAAAGGAAAAGTTGAGGTTCAACTTCTGCTTTCAAGGAAACTTTTTCTCTCTTACATGGCCATAGATAGTAGTGTTTTCTCAACTCAGGAATCTTAATGGCACTGGGGTGACAATTCCCAGATTTACAGAGTGAGTTGTAGAAAGGAAGCTGGAAGTCAGCTATTTCACAGCATCACAGAATGTCTGAGGTTGGAATGGGCCTTCAGAGGTCACCTGGTCCAACCAGCTGGCTGCTTGGGACTGTGTCCAAAGTGTGGTTTAGTTACCTCCAAGGATGGAGACCTCCTTGGATGACCTGGGCCTCACATGGTAACAAGTATTTCCTTACGTTCAGAAGGAAACTCCTGTGCTTCAGTTTGTGCCCATTGTCTCTGGTCCTGTCACTGGGCACTATGGCAGAGAGCCTGGCTCCACCTTCTTTGCACAGTCCCTACCACTTCGGATCTCCAGGCTCAACAGTCCTCCCTCTCCGCCTTCCTTCACGGAAACGCTCTAGTCCCTTAAGCATCTTTAAGGCCCTTTGTTGGACACTCACCAGTATGATGCTTCCTCAGCACTCCGGTGTGGTCTCACCAGTGCGCTCTTCGACACGGGTGGCAACAACCAGCCCCTTACTCAGCGCCGGGGTCGCGGTTCCTCTCCGCCTCCGTGTAACGCGGTGCCGTTTCCAAGGTGAATCACACGTTGGATCCTAACGGACAAGGCGGCGGGTGCGCCCGTTACCGTGGTGCTGCG